GTTCTTCATTGAAACTGAAATTTTATACTTAGAACCTACTTTTATATTATCAGGTACCGGAGGATCAGTTTCGTCGAAAAAAATTGACGAGGCTTGGTAGGATTGTACTTACTGTAACTGATAACATGTTCACAAATTTTGGTTCATCAAACATTATGACGTTTTTTCAATCATTTATAAGATGGAAATAACAGTTTCTGTGTAATTTTTGTTTGTAGGGAAATAATGAAGCAAACGTTGCAGAGATTTTACAGTATGTAAGGATGAATACCGCCCGTTCTTTCGAGACGATATGGGAGTGTGATGACTGGACTGATCCACGGACTCGAAAATTGCAAACAAGCATATTGCGCTGAAGAATCCCTACCACTCTGTTCTATGGTTTAAGAATCGCATAAAAATGTAGAGTTTAACTTAATATCTAGAACAAATATTTTCCTGCTAGCGTCGAAACAAGTCCCTCATACGAGCCCACTCCGTCCGAGACAATAGCCCCCACTATAGCCAAGGCGGTGATTCACATTCATAGGCAAGAGTTCTTGCTGATGCTAAGTCCGTATGAAGCTCATACCTCGTACCCAAGCCCTTGTAATAAAGCCTTGGCAAATTACATGTTCTCTACCATGCATCGCGCACTGCTACCTTACCGATGCTCATCTCACATGATTGTCTATGGCTAGCTTATATCTGCTTGCCGGGCTAAAACTTTAAGTCAAAATGAAAGTGCGACCCCATCCTTACAACGCGTCTAGCTCTCCTTCTGCACAGGCACACAATGCTTCTTCTGAACGCTTTCGCTCCGCTTGCCCATTCGTTTGCTCAGGGCCTATTTATGCAAGTCATTGTATTTGAAGGGCTTTAATCAATTAGTGTCCTCCCGTAGATTAGGATCTTTTATCACAATTCCTGTTTTACATTTCAGTATTCATCAAGTTGAGCAAGTTTTTTATGTGTTGTTTAACTTAGAATTTAGAACGAGCTGAGGTATTTTATTTATTTTCTTGTCAAAATTTGTAAAAAAAGGGGCTGATGTAGAATGAGATGGCACAACTTTCTCCGGCATCTGATTTCAGCTAATTTTCAGGTTACTGAAAAACAGGCGCTACTTTTGAATTCTGCATGTATTCTCTTTTAAAATAATGTGACATTCATAAGATGTACGCTCTTAAAGCTATTGTTATTCATTATGTGAAGCCCATTTGATTTCACGTTGAAATTTTACACTACGTTGAAATATTTTTATATTATATACCTGAACTTTAAGATGATAATGTAAATTTAGCGGCTGACGTTAAATTTTATTCTTTGCGTTGATTAGATTTTCATATGAATAAAATATGATTCTTTGCCATTATTGGATCTAGATTACCGCGACAAACTTTACGAAATGATCCTGCACTAGTTCATTTCTCTTTAAAATTTCAGGAAATTGCTACCTATCGTTTAGCTCCATTACTATTAAGAATGCAATCCTCAACTTGCCTTGGAAATTTCGGCAGTGAAAACGTCTATTTTAGCTTTTTGTTCATGTGGATGTTCTGATTCCCATCATTAAACTTGCCACCCTTTCTGTAATGGGAAAACATATCTGTTCATATGAAAATAATTGTGAGGCTTATCAACGGTATTGATTCTGAAAATAATAGACTAAAATTTATTTATCTAGAAAGAAAAATGACATCTTAACAAGATGAACGGTTACATCTTGCGTGTCGCCCGAATTCTTGAAATGTTCTGATCACTTGAAATTATTCTTAAAATTTATGCATTTAGAGCTATTATATTTAGCCCATTTCGTAACGGGATTTTTATTGTTTCCTTACCTGCAGCAGTTGTCAGGCTCGAGTTACGGGTGCCAATAATTTCACTGCTACAAGATGCTTTGCTCGGAATGTGAGCGGACGTGATTTAGTAATCTGCATTGGATGAGATCAAAATGATCCTCTAGCTTTGTCGAGCATTGTTCCTCTGAGCAAAGCTAGTAATCTTATAAAGATTAGGCTGCCGTCACGAATCACACGTAAAGTTTTAAGGAGACCTAGGGGCTCCCACTATAATTTCTTACCTGAATCACCTGTGGTGAAGCCGCAGGCAAACTCCAGATCCATGGCCGCCCCAGGCTGGCACGACCGGTCCGTTTCCGAAGAGGCGCACCGCGTGATCTTCGAGACCCTCATTCTGCTGTAAATAATTGATCTTCGCTTAGGGTTTCGTTGACCAAAGTCTCATAAGGCTTGGCTAGGTGTTTCATTACATCATTAAGGCTTCACGCATACCTTTTTTTTATTTGACCACGTAAACATTTTTAAAAGACATAGTCTGAAAATTTATTATTTTGTCTTCACATATGGTAAAGTATCACACATATGGTGAAGTATTCAAGTTTCACAATCAGCGCTGCCTGAATGTGATACTTGATTCGTTGTCGAAGCAGTCTTTCCATTAAACTTTGTTTCATTCATCATTAACGATCAGAAATTTTTTCCATGGTGTTCACTATTTAGTCTACAAACATATCTCTGATTCATTGCTGAAATGGAGATGAAACAAATTTTAGATAAACCCGAAATTGTTTTTTTTTCTGTAAACTGCTTGCCTTCGTGAGTTTTACTTGTTCTCTCCATTTCACGCCTAAAACGCATTGAAGTCTAGAGCGCAACTCGTCCCTAACACCAGTGATCTGTTAGATAACATTGCCGTGTAACTTCAGAGGCTGGAAGACACCTGTACTCCTCCTATCTCATAACCCACGGCCTCTCATTCAATTTACGCTAAGTAGTAATTTAGTGGGAAGCCAAGATTCACATGCCAAGCCAGAACATTCTCTTGTCGCTGGCTTCTCTTTACCTGAAAATGAGAGCCTGCGTCGATATGGAATAATCGAGGTTTTTTTGCTCGCCTACTGAGCGGTTTGGTTGTGAGGCATCACGACATCGCCTCAAGCTTGGATAGACTACCGTCATCTCGGCCTCGCCACACATTCTTGTTTGGGTAATTTGCTCTCTGATTATCCTGGGTAGCTTCGCAATATGGCCTCGGCTAGTGCTTTACCGCTCTTTACAGCTTCCTAATTTCTCGAGGATAGGTCGTAGCTCTCTCTGCGCGGAGTTGCGTAGTTCGTGCTAACCGCAACTTGTGTGCAAACTTCAAACTTTAAGTGATCCCCTCGCCGTAGAAATTAGCATAACTTGGTTTGCGCGATCTCTTTTTCTTGGCGAGCAAATTGTCCACTTATTTGTAGTTTTCCTCGCTCTAGGAAATAAATTTGGATTGCTGAGAATTTCCTGCCTGCTTCTAGAAGCGCCGTTGCTGATTGATAGCTCAAGCTTCGTAGAATTTCGAATCAAGGCTGCGATCTGTATGTCAGATCTGCATATTATTGTCTTGGATCAGCCTAATATACTTCATCAGTGATCTATTTTACCTCACCTTCGTTTTCTATCGTCCTGCATTTTTACCGAAATTTGAATAATTTCGAACTTAGACCAACCGGACCACCAATATTTCATTCGAGTTTCCGATCAAAATTTTATTTGATTTATGTATTAATTTTAACGAGCCATGGACCAATTTTTTTTGTGTTGAAGTTGACTGGACGTTGGATGACTGTCAACTGGAGCTATAATATCTGAACTATTTACAACTAGTTTAAATAACCACAGTTCATTTGTCTTGATTGGTTCTCTATATGTGAGCATTTGATGTTCTAATAAGTGAATGAATGTTCGTCATTCCTGCGTGCGTCGCTAGGTAGCTTATGAAGATAGTTTATGGTTTACTTACAGTTCATATTCCCTGCAATTCGAATCAATGACAATTTAAGAACGGCAGCCAAATTATTGGTCTTCAGACTGTCCAGATTTCTTAGTTGGAAAAGTTTATTGAAATTTCTTGAATTCTTGGTGAATGTATGTTGTTGTTGAGGTACTGAAATAACTCTTAACGCCAAACAGTGCTTCAAAATGGAATTGTTCATCGTTATTTGCAGTGCACACATCTTTCCTGAGCATTTGGCTACAGTATCGGGCGTGCATACCAGATGGTATTATGTACAGCACCACAAGACGCTGCCATTAGACATGGCAGACACGGTGTTCTGAACTGCCCCGCTGTAATTATAATGTCTCGGTAACCCGGCTAGCCTCGGCTGACCAACGACCGCGGCTGCGGTACGTGAGACTTCAATCCTTTGCACGAATTTTTATTTTGAAAATTTTCGAAGCAAACGGTGGTAAAAAAATATACTTTTGAATTCATTTATGTAATTCATGTCGAAGCAGCATAACTGTCATCATTACAATATTAATATTTTCACGTAAAACAATAATATCTATCTGTGCACTGGAACCGTTCATCGGAGCCTTCAAATTATGCTTATTTATTTGTGATATAAAAATAATCCAATTACAGACAAAAAGTCATGCAATGCGTATAATTGAGAGTAATAATTGTCATGCTCTTATTACGCATCTGTATTCTGAAATTTAAATTTTTACGTCGCGTGTGACAAATATATCTTAGTTTTTCTCAAATAAAATTTCGATTTAATTTTAAACTAATTCAGATTTTTTAAGAGGTTTCAGGACCTTTTGCTTCAATTACTTCCACACTTTAGCGTTTTGTACATGTTTTATTACATAATTACTCGTCAGTAAATTCGTTAGTTTGCAGAATGCACTCCCGACTTATTCGTTCGTCTGCTGTCACTTATATAGTTATATAGTAGTCCGGGCTCTCATTTAATGATTGAAAATAAAATTTCAGTCTGTATTCATTTTCATTTTTGTATTTATTATTATTTTTTTTATAACATCAAGTTGTGCCACAGCGCATGTTTTATGTGTCACTTTAAAATATTTTAATACAGCTTGCAACGAATAAGTTGATTGCACGATGCCTGCAAGTTCTGAATTCAGTGAAAGGTGCTATAATAAGACGCTATATTACCTCTATTTATGACTGAATGAAGTGTTCCATTTATTTATTTATTTATATTGCAGATAACCATCTACTAATTAAGTGATTGAAAAACATTAACAGTGATAATTTGTATCTACAAGAAAGTGGCGGTATCTTATATTATTTTGAAATAAGTAGTCGATTCCGAATCTTCCTCAGTCTGACGCCTGATGAAGTGTTGGTGTATCAATTTGAAACGCTCTTTGTAAAATTATTTCAGGATTATTAGTTCTGGAATTTCAATTAACATGTGATTAAATTTATGCCCATTCCTAGGTAGCTCACAGATACGGTAAGAGAAATTTTCTATTCCTCAGACCTTTTGTGATAAGTGATTTGCTTCGAGAAAGTTGAGCGCCGATTCGGCATTGGTAATGCTGGTGGCATTCTGTTTTGGTGATGTGCATGTGTGCCGCAGTTTTATTCATGTCATGAGGGTTAGTATTGCAGTAAAAGAACGTGCAAGCGTGTTACTCAGGCGTTCATCCAGAGGACTTCTTGAGTGTAAACTTTTAGGTGAGAAGATCTAAATTACCATCTGCAGCACCTAATAAATAGCGAGCACAAGTCTAGGCAGAAGCAGACTCGCCCATACGTGCCAGAGAATGTGCCTTAACGGTGCCGCTAAGCTGATGTTACTCGAGATAAACTGCTTTCCGGAATGTATGACTGCGTCTCATTCATGATCCTCATTGACATAACTGAATTAGAAAACTAAGTGCCAATTGTGAGAGTTACTGTCCGTTTTTGTGTCGAGCAACAACGGAGAAGATAGGCACATTTGAAAAGCAGTTGGTCACGAACCTTGTCTATTCAAAAAAGTATCAGGCTTTGGCAACGCTCTGGCCTCTAATGCAAAAACAAAAGTAGTGAAACAGCGCAGCTGTTGCAAACAAATATGCATACTGCAGTTGCTTACGATGTTCCCCAGAACAAGTACGGGGCACAGACCAACCCTTACTTGGGAGCAGGAGGCGAATCTGCATACTCAGCCACTCCCACCATCGGGGCTCCCGCTAAGGTAGCTTGCCCTCCTTCTGGGTCCAATTTGCAAACCCTGCGCAAATTTCCAAATGTTCAGAGCTTACAAAATTTAAATTTGTCCAATATCAATAACGATTCTCCCCGTGCATCTTACTCTTCTTCGTCGTCATCTACTACTTCTTCGTCGTCAACGTTGATAATTCCAGAAATATTTAAACAGGATGCTGCAAATCCACCCCCTCCTCTTCCTCAATCTCCTCCGCCAAAACAGAGCGACACCGGAGCTCTGCAGCCTCTCGCCTATACTCAGAAGCCTTACGGAGGCTATCCACCACACCCACATACTTACCAACAGCTGCCTCCGTCTGCTCTTTCAGCACCACCGAAGTACAGCAATGGTAATTTTTACTATCATGCCTCTTTAAACTCAAGCGCAGATTCGTCATGCTCTTCACCATCTCAGAAAACGTTTCCTTCAGATAATCAAAACTTTTTTCCGCACAAAGAAATGTGCAGCAGAAATATTTCTCCTTGTAATTTCCAGAGATTTCCGCCTCCTTACTCTCATGCGGCATCCCAGTCTTTTACGAGCGCGAGCCAGTCAAGTATTAATTCTTCCCAAACAAATCCAGCTAACGTCTTGAATTTAGTAGCCTCTCCTCCGTGCTACGGCAACATGAATCGCAATTATTCTTTGAGCTCCTCGACGAATAATGCAGATTCAGTGCATCATCGATCAACTTACACTCCACCCGGACCATGCAACTATCCCGGCGCACCCGATGAGAGACGTCTGTCTGATCCTAACTCGAAGAGATCGTTCGAACCTTCTCCAGCTCACCAGCCAATGAACGCCAACACCCGTCCTCTAAATATCGCTGTGAGAACCACGTCAGAACGGTAAGTTCTTTCTTCTCACTAGCCACATTCTCTAGCCACAGGCTCGTTCGCCCACCCTCGAAAATTTGAGTTCATTTAATGCTTATCTGAGTATACTATTATGCCCTTACGTAAAGTAAAATATGCGAACAAGGCCACATATTCATTATTCTTTCTAGTCATTAATTAGACTACATTACTAGCCCGAGCGAAGTCCATCAGACTGAGCTGTATACCTGTCGTCCATCTCCGCGTTTGTCGTGTACGCAACATCATCGAACACATTATAACCATATGCTGTCTTTCTCCTGCGTCTAATCGTGATAAATTGCGTCATTTTTCACATGTTTTGGCCGAGACTCGCTGCATTAGATTGATGGTCGACACTATAAGTACGTTGAAGCTGTTCCTTGGGAAAGTTTTAGCGTAGATCGCACTCTCTTCCAGGTGATCTTTACATATTGCTGTGAGTGACGGCTTTGGTGTTTCTTATGACCTTATACTTTCAGCTAACATAAATTAACCAACGGACGCTCGTGCTGGCCTGCTTTTTTAGGTATGTTTTACAGTTTCAATTTGGCTTCTGATTTATAGAGCAGTAAGTGCTCACAAATGATACTTTTTTCTATGAATATTCAAGAAGAGACAGAAGCAGGCATTCATACTTTTAACTGCTGTCTAATGGCTGTCTGTGGCTGCACTTCGTTTTATTACATTACTGGATCATACTTAGCGTGTTACACAATAATGATGTTTTTACAATCATGTGTTTGTGTTATTTAGTCCTTATTCTCTTGTCATTTAATTGGTTTGGGACACATCAAAACTTCCTGTAAGGACCACTTTTACAACCTAAATGCCTGTCTCATTTTGCTTCGTCTACTCTTGTGTTTCGCGCTCAAATTTCCTGCCGTGATGAAACGATGAACGTATCTTACAATAGTACATGCTCTCAGTCGACGCCACTTATTGTTATCTATAAGATAAAATTCCTTTCAATTAATTTCATGATAATGACTTGTGAATTTCGTAAATTAATTTCAGTTTAATCTCAGTACGTTTATTAAGATTTTCCGACGAGTTTATTTGCCGGCTCTAAATTAACCATTAAGGATGTGTGTTCCGGCTGCTCAAAACATTTGCTGATACTTGCATCCTGCTTTAGAAGATGTCTCGTGTAGTTGATATGCTATTACTTGCAATACTTGTGTGATAGTGTGGTCCGTAGACGATTATACTTAACACGTTAGCTGGATGATGGCTCCTTATTAGCTCTTGACTCTTATTTCCGTTTCTCGCGTGCATCGAGGAGCTTTTGTTGATTTCAAGACGAGGGAAAATTTATCTTCTCAAATTTCCTTTAAAATTAGCTTGCCTCGTAATATTTTGCTTTCGGAAACGAGTAGCTGAAGTTATTTCTGAGAAATTTCAAGTGTGTAATGAAGTCGAGCAACTAAAATTAGAGAATGTTCACGCTTGAGAATCCGCTCTAAAATTAGGGAGGAAAATTTTTCATGCTCATTCACTCATTCAATTCGTGAAATAAAATGTCGACACCCAAGCAAATATCCATTATACAAACAAGACTGACGTATACTCTGACGTAACAAACAAGGTAAACAAAATGTTGGTCTATTGAGACCAGCGATTTAAAATGAAAGGAACCATATTGCTTAGATGCTTTATCTCTCTCCCCTTGAATCTAAGCAAAGAAATAACTTTTCTCTTGAGCAAGAAGTTGGGCGCTGACCTCGCCCACCTTTCCTCTTGTCTAAAAGTTTATTGTTCATCTCGATTGGGGGCAATTACCTAACATCCCAATCAGCAATATGCAAGAAATAATGATCTGCATACCTAAACTGAATTACGTGAAACAAAAAGTACCAGCTGTATGCTTGTGAACGGCAGCTCGTCGCAATGTCATTTCTATTCATGAAAGAATTTTCTTAGGAAAGTGTTATAGTGTGTTTATAATGTAACACATAAATATTATTCATTATTTTAATTCGTTATTTGCACTTCGTTACACGTCTATTGTATTGTGTATGTGCAGTTTTATAAAAAAATCGTTTACTCCTCAGCAGTCAATAATTTCTCAGCAGCAGTTTATGAATATGCGCATATTTCCTTCCGATTTGTGCTTGCTAAATTCTCTGCACAGTTCGATCTCCAAGCACTGTAAAGAGTGCAAAACATTTATAACAAAAAAATATTCTCGGTGTTGGGACTAATGCAGCTTACCTGCTCTATCTATATACATATGTATGTGTTATTTCGAGAGGTTGATGGACGCATAGACTACCTGAGGGTACCGTGCCCAATGCTGATATTTACTGTGATCTTCATGGATGAGGCCGCAGAGAATTCTTTGTCCACAGAAAATCTGGTCGCAATATTGCTGCGGAGGCGACCAGCCAGCAGCAGAAGCAGCTCGACAGTTGATTATTACCTGCAGACTGTATAATGCATGCCACACTATATTTAACGCGACCGGACTGAAGCCCTTGGCTCTGCTCTCTTCAGTCGTTTTCTAGATTTCTCTCTCGAGTTAATTTAAATAGAATTGGGGGTTGTGAGGCCAGTCCGTTGCCTAGCAATTGCTAGCTACTCGTCAGGCTCAAGTTGGGAACTAAAAACGCTCAAAAATAGACGATCAGCAGTCGTCGTTTTGCCATAAGCTGCTAATATTTCAGGCGAAGCCTCTGAGGTCAAGGAGCTTTAACTGTACTAAAATTAGTTGAGCCTTCTACAATGAACTCTGAAGAAGCTCATTACCAACATTTGCGGTATTTTGTGGCTTACTAAAGTCTAGATTGCTGCTGGAGAATCTTCAATCCGCCTTGCATAAAGTTCAACTGGTCAATTTTACTGGTTTCACCACCAGCAAGACACTAATTCAGAGCTTAAGTTGCAAGAATGTAATTTACTTTGCTTGCTCCTCGCTAAGATATGTGATGCTGATGCAGTTTTGTAACAAATTTGCACGCACGCTACCGGCGCCTTGCTCCATTCCGTGGCCATTGTCATGCATGCGATGTCTGCTACGGCATCCAGAACACTGCATTCTTTCTGACTTCGAGACAATGCCTTGTTATCGTCATCCTAACCTTTCGATGTTGGTTGCATATCTGCTACACGAGCAAGATCATTTTTCAGTCGAATAGAATTCAATTAAATGTATGAATAATGATGAATATCTAATTTTCCATCCAACATCATATTTGATTTAAAAGATGAGCTGCAAGAAAACCGTTGTTGAAGCAGTTCAAATGTTGTATTGGATAGTAATTAAAGTAAAGTGTCTTGGTTGATTTCAACACACTGCGGTGGTGCGCTGATTCCAACCCTTGAATTCCTATTTATTCGAAGGATAAGTTTCTTAACTCATGTCGCCGTTGCGCATGCGGTCGTGCTGCGAAGGGATAACTTATTGCGGTAGGGCCTCTGAGTACAGATTTGCCAGCACCAAAGTTGTCATGGCAAGATCTCCGTGCATGGAGATTGCGAGGCTGTCGGACTGTAAACGACTCGATTTAGAGAGGTTGCTGCTGAGTGGCAGGAAGTTGGCCATTACACTAAAGAGCAGAGACGCAATGGCACCGTCCCAGGAGCTATAGTCTCTCCACGCCGCATCTTCGAAGGAGAAATAAAAGTCATGCTAAGCGAATATTTTAAACGCGTCTGGCAGGCGGCCCGTCCGCTTGCTCGCACGATCCATTTCTTGCAGCCTCCACACTTGTTGTAGTGCTCGTGTCTACGAGCCTTAGAGAGAGATTAATCTTTTTATATCCAAGCATCACTCGTAATTGTGCTCTTTACTGTTCTTACTGTAAGCATTCAACCCAATATATGCATCCGAACTGTATGCGTCATTCAGTTGAATACATACCGAGTGATATTTTAATGTTAATCGTTGATGCAAAATTAACCTGCATTTTTGACTTGCATCCTGAATGCAATGGAAGAAATCCGTTGTTATATACAGTTATTGTGTCGTTCGTAGTGATAAACAAAGCGATGTACGGGCGCTACCTGATGACGGTATCGATATGTTGCTGCCCGGCAGCCGACCAACATATTTAGCTCCCAGAGATTGAGTCTGCGCCTTTCACCGAACGATGGCAAATGCCGCTGCTCCGGCAATGACAGTCACCTTTTAAATTCTCTTTGATGAATAATAATGACCAGATATGCAACTGTAATTGACAAACGCTTTCTTGCAACTTATCAAGTATATTCGAGTATCCTCGCTTCCATTTTTTACTGAAACTACAGGCACGATTCGGAATTTTGTAAGAAAACAAATTTTAAAATACTACTACTTAGCAAATAAATTTACGTGAGTAAATAGTTATCCTATTTCCAGGAATTTTGCCAAAAAATCAGGCTTTATCACTCATTGCACAGGGTTGATCACGTGAAGCTGCCATGCTTACAACAAATTATTTACCATAACTTCCCAAGGCTCATTTAACATATCGTAACTAATTTATATCAGTAATAATTGGTCATGTTGAGACAGTAAGGCACGAACTGAGAAAAAACGCCCATTTGCGATGCTTTCTAATTAATTGCTGATAGGTTAAAGCATTTCTTTATGCTCGTGGCAAGCTCCGTAGAAAGGATGAATTAATTCACACTATACACTGCAGCCAAACATTCGAGGACTCTGTTCTCTAGATGTTCTTCTTGGTCATGCGAGTGAATTTACTTCGCAAGTCTTGCATTATCGTAGCTCCGAACCGGCATGGAGCTTCTGAGTTATTCGTTGTGTTTTTTCTCTGAGGCCCGCGGTTAGCAATTATGCTAGGTGACCCTCAGGCTACGACTTGGCTTTATGCAAGATGCTTAGTAGCTTGAACTTCTACACTCGTAGAGAATCCCGACACTGGTTGAAGAAAAACCTTGCCGTGCTCGACGTTACCTTGATTTGTTACAATACACATTTATTCAAGAAAGCGTTTCGCTCTTCTTTTACTTTCACTCGTTTGATTGATAAGATTATATACGGCCTACATGAATAGAATCAAATAAATAGATGAACTGGAAATGAAAATAATTGTTAGAGTTCCATATTCATAGATTGAAAGCTCTTTTGATTATAGCGGTTCATGGATCTAGTATAAATTATCTATTATAAAAAAGTAATATCAGCAGTAGGTAATAATTTTGCTTGCAACCCACCCTAAGAGTTACAATACACCGAGGATCAAGCTGACTTACGCGAGATACACGTAGAAGCGTTCAAATGAAGCGGCTTCGAAATGAGAAGCTCAGCAAATGTTGTGGCTTCCTGTAAAATCTTGCCGGAATTTTGTCGCTAGGTTGGATGGTGTAAGCGAGGGCGTGCATAGCAGGATGTCGCGTCCCTCCAGCGCATGTAACATCTGTAATAATTTGTTGGAAGCCAACTTAAATGGCCGACCTGCGACCTCTCCAGCACGAATTATGAGCAGATGGGGGGAAACATTTATTGAACTTCAAATCGAGACTTTATTGATGTCGTACTTAGGTATTATAAATGTTCTTCCTGCTTGTGTAGTGATTGTAGCTAGTGGTGCTTGTGTAGTGATTGTTATGAGTGGTGCTTGTGTAGTGATTGTTATGAGTGGTGCTTGTGTAGTGATTGTTATGAGTGGTGCTTGTGTAGTGATTGTATGACCTTATGACCTTATGATGAGTTTAGGACGTCGTAGTCCAAGGTCACGCTGATGCGCCGCCTTCGTCGTCCTCCGTCTCCGAGTCGTCGTCGGATGTAACGTTGGACGTGTTCCGTCTATTTGCCCTCATTTGGGCCAGCTGATGCAAGATGCTGTTGCTTGTCACTTGCTGAGGGTAGTTTCCCATTACTGGACAGTCCGGGATCTGTCTCTTATACACATCTAGNGGTGTTTGTGCTGTGATTGTAGTGAGTGGTGTTTGTGCTGTGATTGTAGTGATTGGTGTTTGTGCAGTGATTGTAGTGATTGGTGCTTGTGCAGTGATTGTAGTGAGTGTTGCATGTGTAGTGAATATAGTGAATGGTGCTTGTGTAGTGATTGTAGTGATTGGTGCTTGTGCTGTGATTGTAGTGATTGGTGTTTGTGCTGTGATTGTAGTGAGTGGTGTTTGTGCTGTGATTGTAGTGATTGGTGTTTGTGCAGTGATTGTAGTGATTGGTGCTTGTGCAGTGATTGTAGTGAGTGTTGCATGTGTAGTGAATATAGTGAATGGTGCTTGTGTAGTGATTGTAGTGATTGGTGCTTGTGCTGTGATTGTAGTGATTGGTGTTTGTGCTGTGATTGTAGTGAGTGGTGTTTGTGCTGTGATTGTAGTGATTGGTGTTTGTGCAGTGATTGTAGTGATTGGTGCTTGTGCAGTGATTGTAGTGAGTGTTGCATGTGTAGTGAATATAGTGAATGGTGCTTGTGTAGTGATTGTAGTGATTGGTGCTTGTGCTGTGATTGTAGTGATTGGTGTTTGTGCTGTGATTGTAGTGAGTGGTGTTTGTGCTGTGATTGTAGTGATTGGTGTTTGTGCAGTGATTGTAGTGATTGGTGCTTGTGCAGTGATTGTAGTGAGTGTTGCATGTGTAGTGAATATAGTGAATGGTGCTTGTGTAGTGATTGTAGTGATTGGTGCTTGTGCTGTGATTGTAGTGATTGGTGTTTGTGCTGTGATTGTAGTGAGTGGTGTTTGTGCTGTGATTGTAGTGATTGGTGTTTGTGCAGTGATTGTAGTGATTGGTGCTTGTGCAGTGATTGTAGTGAGTGTTGCATGTGTAGTGAATATAGTGAATGGTGCTTGTGTAGTGATTGTAGTGATTGGTGCTTGTGCTGTGATTGTAGTGATTGGTGTTTGTGCTGTGATTGTAGTGAGTGGTGTTTGTGCTGTGATTGTAGTGATTGGTGTTTGTGCAGTGATTGTAGTGATTGGTGCTTGTGCAGTGATTGTAGTGAGTGTTGCATGTGTAGTGAATATAGTGAATGGTGCTTGTGTAGTGATTGTAGTGATTGGTGCTTGTGCTGTGATTGTAGTGATTGGTGTTTGTGCTGTGATTGTAGTGAGTGGTGTTTGTGCTGTGATTGTAGTGAGTGGTGCTTGAATGCTGGTGTAGTGAATATAGTGAATGGAGCTTGTGTAGTGATTGTAGTGAGTGGTGATTGTTTAGTGATTGCGATGAGTGTTGCTTAAATACAGGTGCATTTAGAGCTGTCTTTCCAAAAAGCTGGTATATCACATTCTGACAGGCATCGTTAAGACATTTATAATCTCCGGAAATCATTCGTAACGCTCAAATTTGCCCATTTGAATCATTGGTAAAAATAACCTTGCGTTATAAATGGTCTTTAAATATTGTTGAAGTCTCTGAAATAATTCCTGGTCTAATGTGATATTTTTGTCATTTGCAGACCGGGTGATCAGAGGCTACCGGCGGAAACCAGCAACATGAACAACAATAATAAGAAAGCGTCGCCACAAGTTGCACCTCAAAACAAGCACCAATCCATCCAACAGAACCAGACGCAGCAAGTTCTTAAGAAGAAACAAAGTCAAGAATATCTTGAGAATGACGACAAGAAGTTGGATCCACAAAATCTACCTCCAGCAGTTCCTCCTCATCAAACTAGTACAACGAAGAACTTGAATTGTGCAAACAATAATAATAACTTGCACAACAATATCCTTACTACGAGTAGCAACCAGATTTCTCCAAATAACAACAATAGTAGCAGCAACGTTCCACTAACGGCAATCAAGAACAGCAACGTCAAGTGCAGCTCAAACAACCTGAAACAAGCAAGGGATGTGGTACAACCAGCCTCGCTCAACTCTCCAGCTAAACAACAGAATAAGCCACAAATGCAATCTATTGTGGCTTCATCACAACAGCTGCATAGTCAGAAATCGCAGCAACAACAGATGCAACCTCTGCATTCTTCACCACAACATCTGCAACAGCAGATTTTGAAGACTCATCGGCAAGGATTCACTCAGGATTCATCATCGGCATCTGTGAGCAAATCCCCACCACTCCATGACACTAACCAGGTAATAATACAAAAAAAAAATTCTACGCAAAAGCTCTGTATACCTTTCGTTCTTCACTATTTTATTGCTACCATAGTACATCGGATTCAATCATGTTCCCACATGTCCAAGCCTTTTATTGTTATGGTTGCAGGTCCGTTTTATTCAGCTCCCAGCCCGTTTTTGTATTCTTACGCTAGACATTTGTAACTGTGTAAGCTCCATCACCTTCACATCACAGTTACCTAAGAAGAAAGTGATGAATTTGAATGTGCAATAATTTCTACAGTTTAGTCAACGTTATATTTTCATGTTAACATCACTGTTTCAAGTCGTATAATCTAGGCCGGCGTATTTTACTCTGCAGCCTTGAACTACCAAGCACTAGGACCAAACCTCAGTTGCATACCTATTATTACATGTAATTACTTGACCTGTAATTTTCCTGTACCATTTGCAGAGTTTAAGTTCACGTGACAATGGGGTTGCGGCTAGGGATCGAGCGACTACAGGATACACAAGGCAAGACTTCTTCTCACACAAACCTCATAACTATAAAAACTCAAATCAAGACTTTAAGACATCTTCCGATTACCCAAATAAATCGGTTGACTATATCGACGCTGAAAGCTATTCCGCTAAAAAACCTAGTTACCTCAATAAACCTCACGATTACCAAAGTAAGTCTCAGGAGTACCTCAACAAGCCTGAACTACCTCCATCTCCGTGCAAGTCATCCCAGGAATATCACGGACAGGTGTCAGAGCATCCAGGCAAACCTTACTCATACAAGTCTCACATTCCTCGCAGTAGTGAAGCGCCGAACTGTAATATTAAACTTCTCGGTTCTTCTGCAACGCCGCTTGGAACGACTGGACCGACAAATGCTCATCGGGAGAGAATTGCTTCGCCACAACGAGTGACTTCTCCATCTGGAAAGCAGTATGATCTACCGCGACTCCAAACTCCTCCTGTCAAGATGACTGATTCACGGATGGAGTATCAATGTAAAACCGATGCTCCTGTTTCCACGAATGTCAACAGCAAGAGAGAAAATGGTCAAGTGTTACCCCATTGTTCTGATCCGTCGGCGCTCTACGTTCAACAATATCCCGAGAGAGATAATACTAAATCTCAAGCCCCTGTGTGGGAAGCAGGGTATCTATTGGAAAAATACTCCGGAGGCCCATATTCTCCACTGCCTCCAATTCACCCTGCGGCTCGATCAGAAAAAGCCGTGGATGACCAAGAGTTGAATGATTTCAGACTAGGTGGTAACAGTGGTTCGGGAAGCAAAGATGTTTTAGATTTAAAGTGCGAAGCAGAAAAAGAGGGCTTGGAAATTAGGTTAAAGGCAAGTCATGCCAAAAGGGTTGACGGAGGTGGCGACCAGCCTAGCATTCCTGCGAACAAAAGCGTTGCCAAACTCTCAGCCCTCTCATCTGTCTCAGACCAGATCGAAGTTTATAACCCAGGGACCACTCAACACTCTCATGATTCTCCAGCTCAGTGTCAAAGCCACGGCAGTTCCATGAGTCCTGAGACGACAGATTGCGGGTCCCTGAGCAAAAGCAGTTCTGATGGTGACCACAACATAATGAACCGCAAAAGACCACCCACAAAACTCAAGTCGAAGAGAAGAAACCTTCTCTCATTTCCCCATCACCTCTCTGTGGATGAAGTACGACTAATTCAGGTACGATAAATTTCAACCTCAGAACGGCAATTACATTTTATTTTAGGCTTATAATGATTACTACGTTTGGACTTTTAAAATTGGATGTTTCAGGGCTATTTGGTGTTTCTTAAGTCATTATTCAGTTATAATGACCTAACAGAGGATCGAAATTATTCTCGATTGGATGAAAGATTGATTATGTAATGTATTAGTTCAGCGAGTTAGTTTCAACTCTGGAATATATTTCCCTGTTAAGACTTTCCAACATTTGGTCGATAAATATTCCGTGTTACTTTTAGAATTTATGAACTCGCAGAATTGTTAGTGTGATTTTTTAATTTAACTGCCATTACAATAAGCGTTGCCAAGATTCCTTTTTGTTTTTGTACACTCTTAACGGCATGGGCATTAGTAATGTTTGTAGTGGCGGTCATTTTTTTAAGGAGTCCTGTTAAATAAAAGCTGAACTCGTTGCGGTGGCTCCTAATCTTTATATTAATCTTTAGGTTATTAATAGATAATTATTAATATTATTATATTGATCCTAAGTTTGTTAATAGGTAATAGATAAATCATTAGGTAATTAATAATCATGTTAATTTTAACTCTGAATTGCAAGGAGCTCATTTGATGAGATGTGCCGAACATTTTCTTCATTCGAAACTGGGATTTTTTTCTAGAATAGAAACATCAAAGATATACATTTCATTTGCTATACATGTCATGTGATAAGAAGTATATTTTTTTGAGAACACCACAAATTTTCAATGTAATTTAGTTCAGTCTGACCTATTTTAAGAATAGAGTTTGTAGTCAAAAATGCTTTTATAAGCTTGTTACTTCCGATTCGTAGCTTTTTACCTGAACATTTTACTTAAGTATTTTATAGGTGATATAGGTATTATACCTATTTCCTTGCATTCCATTTAATTACATAGTCCTAGAAGTCGTCCTAACGGATTCGTCCTAGAATTCTAACTCTCCTGAAAATCTCCTGACATTCATTCTCATGGAATGAATGTCGCTCATTCATTCCCAGTATTGATTTATTTTATAATAATCTAAGAAAACACTAATAATTTCAGCAAGGTCACTAATTAAATATATTTCTGCCATTAACATTGATTAACGACGGTTTGAAATGCACTGCAGTGTCGGGACGATAGTTACGGAGGCGGCGGAGGTTCATCGTCCGACGACAACCGCTCGTCGGGCCACGCCAGTATGTCGGACGGACACACTTCTTCGTCACCGCCTGTGGACACTCTGCCTCGTCATCATGAGCATCCCATGCGATCTACTCTCAAGGTCCGTCTTCTGCATGACGTGCTCTCTCAATTATTTTTGTGAAGTCGTGGTCTACTTTTGATTTTATTAATTAGTTTTGTTTCATTTCCAAGTTTATTCATAAATATTTTAATCGTAAGCGAATAAATATCAATATACTGATAAACTGGATAAAACTCCTAAAAAAGTTTTCAAATTGTGTCTTCAATGTATCAAAGCGCAATGGTCATGTACTTGAGCATGTAACTCTTTTTTATCTACAAGGTAAATTAGTAGGAAATTGTTTTTGTTTTGGCTTATACTTTAATAATAGGTTTAATCGAGAACTGCATGAGGGATCAAACTGAAATCAAAGTGAGATATAAGTAGACAACATTGAACGTTTATTCGTTGGCTTGTGTGCGTTTATAGCCACTGAAGAGCTGTGCAAAGTAGTGCTCGTTCGTTTTCAACTCCGCTGCTAGTGTTTATGACCATCTCTTATCACATTGCGTCGCTGTAAATGAAGCTTCCTTTTCCTTCTAAGGAACCCGGCCTCAGTGACCTTGCACTCTAAAACGATCTGTTCGTTAACTCTAGAATTTCTACTATTAAACTTGATAGATATTTAGAATATCATGATATGTCATTTATTATTATTAGCTGGGAGCAATAATATTTCCAAATATATTATATTAAGAATAATCTTTAAGATATTTCGAGAATCATTTTTATAAAAGATATTATTTGTTCAATAAGTCCCAAAAATGTAGAAGATAGATACTAATATCGATGAGTCGTTATCGTGCAGTCGGTACCGGAAGACGAGCGCCTGTCTGCGGGCGTGATGGCAGGCGGAGTGAGCCGCCCCACGGCGCCAGGCAGGCGAGGACATCTGCCCCTGAAGGCGGCGCGCTTCAGACCAGGCGCAGGCCCCGGGCTGCTGGCGAAGGTGCTGCAACTCCTCAAAATATTTATATATACAACTCCATTCAAATTGAACCCTCTACCGCCTGACATGAGTAACTGGAGCAGTATTGTCACAAGCCTACTTCCCAAAAAAGGATTCGTTCTAGTGAGCGCAAAATAACTCGCACTGATGGTTGCCGCCACCTACGACAACTTTAAAATGTTCTCTGTTGCGTACAAACGTCCTCAGGTTGCTACACTCAATAGTTTACGTCTTTTTTAAGTTGAGAGTTGTGTTCCCGGAGAGTGACATACGGCGGTAGAGGGTTAAAATCACGCACTCGTTTCGATAACTGAGTTTTGTTATCTGATCTTAAATTAAAAAACTCTGCAATGCTTTCATTACATTATGCGGCTTCATAAAGTATTAGAATAGAATAGAAGTGTCGGCACTGAAGAAATAGGCCCATGGCCTGTTGCCGATTCTTGAATTTTTCGTGACTTGATTCACAAGGGATCCGGCCTTTGGAACCCGATCTTTCCATAACTGACGATTGATTCAATAATTTATCTTTCGATTTTAACAGTATTTGTTCATCCATTGCAAAAGAAAAATCATTTTGAGTCGAATGATAAGTCCCCTGAAAACTTAGCCAGCTAAACACCTCCAATCAAATGATTGATTTTTTCTTGATGGATCATTTTTTCCGTTCAATGTTTTTCTTATTGAACTTGACCTAATCTTATTTTGACTTTCGAATGATCGCCTCTGAATGCACATAGTTGTTTGCTTGCATGTGTGATGACGATTTTTCAGTATTATGTAAAAAGCATAATGTTGAATAGCCTTGTGATTATTTTGCAGGATGACCTTTCTCTGACGCTAGAGAGTGCCACGGGTCTCGAGGACATAAGACTAGCTATCGAGCAGCTTACGATTCGGTCTCAAGGTTCGAGGACGAGCTACTCCACTTCGACATACTCCTCCATGTCTGGCTCTGAAGGGGAGAGCAATCGACGACTTGTACGACACTCGTCTCTGGAAACCATCAACACAAACGTCACTGCAGCCGATGAATTTGTTTGGGTCGACTCGCATGATCGGTAGGATGCTGTGATTAATAGGCAATATTAATAGCTTTTAAATTCGTTTTAGAATCGAGTTATCAATTTTCATGCAAACTTCAGCTGCGATTTTGATCAAACTCAACTCAATGTTGATTTTTTAAGTTTCTTAATCGTAAAATTTTGCTGGTAACATCAGGGACCGAAACATTTTCATGACCGTTTCGATATATAGTGATAAAGAGGTAGTTCCCCAGCATAACGGTGCCGTGACCAGGTTTCTAACCTGAGTTATTAAGGAACGAAAAATTCTAAATGAAAATCGAATAATTGTTGGAAAGAAATATGAATAAATTTATACTATTCCCTAACAAAATTATCATGTGCAGGCTATGCTAGTAATTGTTTCCGCCCGCAGTTATAAGGATTTGAGCTATTATTGCTGCTAGGATTGAATACGACTTCAGGTAGACTTGCACTGATCATTTTACTTTTTTTTCATCAGTTTGGTCGAGCTACAACAGCTGCCTTGGAGCAACCACGACGTACTGAGAGTGATCCAGCAGGGGCGTGTACGAGAGCAACTTGACAGAGTTTCAATCGAAGCTGTGCCCAGGTTATCGTACCTTCTTCAACGCGCACTTGTCAGAGTGGCGAGGGAAGCTCAGCGACTGACTAAACCTTTAGCCATGTGCAGCAAGCAAGAAATTTCTTCTGCTTTCAAAATTGTTCTGTCGCCTGCACTGGCAGATTCATGCATCAAGGTCAGAATGTTCTTCGTGAACTTGTTTGTTATATAAGTTATATTCAATTGATACCCATTATTCCTATTTTTCTGTTCATTGCTGTTAGCTATTTCCCTCCAAACCATGGGTCGAAAATTGCAAGATTTATTTACTTTGTCGGTGATACCTATATTTGAATATTTCAATCGTACTTATTTTATAAATATCAGCATTCAGCAATTTTCTTCTGTAGTCATCATAACTAGCGTCAGTCATAACAATTGATGGTTGTTGGCAGTCGTGCCTACGAGCGGGCGCCATGTACACGGTGTCGGGCGACCACCTCAAGCAGGCCAAAGCGGCGCGTGCTGGCCTTAACCTCTCCGTAGGGCGCTTCATGCGCTGGATGTGTGACGTTCGCGTCGGCAAATTCATTCACGAGTCAGTTCTATTAATTTTATTCATATTTTATACTCGTTTTACTGCAGGCTTTAAAGTAGTAATGTTGCAGTGATAAAGCCCTTTATTTTTCCGCCATTTGGTCTTACGGAAAATTTTCTATAACTCAAGATTCAGTCATCATTAATAGTGTTAAACTTAATCTGCATTGAATCAAGTGACAGAAATTTATTCTTATTCTTCTTGTAGTGTTCTAAAAAAATCAACGTTAATCGTCATTATATGTGTTGATTTTGGGAGGTTTATTTACTGGTATACTTTTTCCAAAAAAGATCCGAAATTGTATACTTTTTAGTTTTGTTGTCTTAGACTATTACCCATTATGCTCGTGAAGGTACGCTGCCGTGTACCTGACTGCCGGCCTGGAGAACTTGCTGGAGGAGATGGTGCTGCAGTGCTTGCCTGCTGAAGAGGACGAGATGCTCACAGCCGCTCTACTGGAGCACGCCATCGCTAACAATGCTGACTTGTGGGGCCTGCTGCAGCCTTATGCTCACCTTAATGCTGGACGCACTGCCACGGGTATCATCAATTGCTTTTATTAAAAATATTATACTGATAACCACTAATATTAATACAGATAATTGAATATGTGAACAGTGGAATTATGTGTTAACTTATCCTCTTTATGAAGACCACATGTTTTCTCAAATAAACGTAAGTGTCGGGAGTTAACAGTTCGTGTTTTGGGTGCAGGTGCTTTGTGTCTGCCTCGCTGGGCCAGCAGTTCGAGTATAGACCGCGCTGTGTCTGTGTCGTCGGGCGAGAGCAGCGTAGCTGCGGACGCTTGCAACACGAGCGCTGACAGCTCTGTCAGTGACAGCAGCGCCACCACCCCTCCTGCTGGCACGGTTCCCTCGAGCACATCGAGCGCTGGAACATCGTACGGTGCTTCCCTGCCTGCCGCTGCCGGCATTACCAGCAGTGTCAGTTGCGCGTCTGGCAGCGGCGCTAATGATCATAACTCACGATGTTCGTCCTCCACGACCCTGACCAGTGAAGAGCACAACCGCGGCGGAAAAGTAAATTTACCAAAGTTATCTCCCCTTTATTTATGTTTCCTGATATGAATCATCGCTTACTTATATTTTTGCATGAACATTGAATGTTCTCTGATAAAAATTACTTTCCAATTGAGTCAGCTAACAAAATTTTATCCCGCAGACGTTGGAACAGTCGCTGTTGACAACCTGCGTCGGGTCACTGGCTGAACTAAGTGACCTGCTGTACAGAGTAGCAACTCACCACCACCAGACTGTACACGGCGCCTCCTCCACGAGTGCAAGGGTCGTGGGCGCGTCTCCTGCCCAACACCCAAATTTAGGGTCGTCCTCCTCAGGAGCGCAGTTAGGCCCGTCCAGGCCAGGCTCCTCGATCAGCAACAGTAGTAGCGGCACTAAAAATATCATAAGTTGGGGACCGTCTGCACTCCATGCTTTATTTTACTTCATGCGCTGCAGTCAACTGGAACATGCCGAACATGCGTCCAGGTGAGGCCCACTCATTAAAATATTATTGTTGGAATTACTTACATTGCGTTAAAAGTTAACAAAGGATGTTATTTTTGCCTGGATGTTCGGGTAATTGAAAAAAGCATATTGAAGCTCATCAGATTATTTACAATGCTTCTTGTTCTATGATTAATTTTGGTTTCTAATAATTTTTTGATACATTAGTCCCTTATCAAATTTATTTGCAATAAATTAAAAAAATTGTCCCCGTAAGGCTTGTTTTCTTATCAAATTTTCCAGTTAAAGTTTTCACTTAGAGTTAAGTTTTTATTCTCCATTGTAAGTTTTAAATCGGAAAAATTTTCACGTGGGATAATGTTTAATGTGAATTGCTCGATAGCAGAGCACCCATTCAAGAATTGGTTTACGAGCGGCCGTACATCGCTCTGCCGCCGCTGGTGGAGTGGGTGCGGGTAGCCACCGCTCACACCGAGCACAGACACTCCACCGTCGTGGATAAAGATGACGTCATGCAGGCCGCCAGACTCCTACTGCCTGGAGTGGACTGTCCTGTCAGGACCATAGGGTGAGATATCTTTAGCCTATATTTTTAGAGTTTTGTGATTTTTGTCGGATTGTAACTTGCGGCAACCAAATTTTTATCTCGTGCCTATTTTTATGTGCATTCCAAAACTAAGCAATGAACAACTTTAACATTTTCTACATACCAGCTAGTCCATATCATGTTAGTAGCGAATGCTATTGCCAATCATTTCTTTGGGATCTTGTTAGTAGCGAATGATATTTAGCAACATATTATGTATCTTTCATTAAAATTATCTGGTTAAAATGAAACGTTAATTGCAGCGTATTTTTTGCCGGTTGATGCTTATATTTTCTTAGGTATTATTCATTTATGAGACTAATTTTCTTCACCAGATTCGACTGTTAAAAAGTATTTCATGCTTCAATAATTTTTTATGTTGACTTATGTTCAGCTACGAGGAACTCATGTGCCCCAGACGTCAGCTCGATGAACTGGAGTGCGCTCAGAAATTCAAAGTAGACTTGGCCTTCAAGATGCTGTCTTGTGGACGCACTGAGCTCCTGCCGCATGCTCTACAGCTCCTGCCTGCCACCAAAGTCAGTTCATGTGGATAATTTTCTATAATAGATACATTGCATTTTATTTGAAATCAGTGTCGTGTGCTTACGTGGCTTGATCTTGATGGGAGCTAAATAAATTTCTTATTTCCAAGTCAAACGGGGTATTTAGTTGAGGCTTGGTTATACACTTTATAATATGCTCGCTTGAATTACGAAATTAAAAAATAACCATTGACAAATGGTACATAAGGATTTGCGATCACATTTTGGTTATCTCAGAGAAGTACTTTTAAACATATGTAACAGTGAAAATAATGTATTAATTTAATTTATAGAAACAAGATCGAGTTGAATCGTGGATACTATGAATGTCATTGTTTTCTTTGCGTTTAGGTGAACACCGTTAATGAGTACGGACTCACGCCACTGATGTTGGCCTGCATAAGGGGAGATGAGGCTCTCGTCAAGCTCCTACTCAACGCTAATGCGGACGTCGATGCAGAAACTCCACCCACGGGTCCAGCTTATCTCATGGCCAACCCTGAGACACAACATTGGACTGCTCTGACGTATGCAGCAATACATGGACACTACAGCCTGGCGCAAACGTTGCTTGCTAGAGGTGCCAATGTCGAAGGCGGAGCAACTTTGTCCGAAGAGAAATGCACTGAAACTCCGCTCCAGGTAATGACGATCATCTACTAGCTCAGGAGAGGATAAAATACGGCCCATGGGAGTATTTTTTGCTGCATTTATTCCTATACACTTTGCTATACTATGTTATGTTTGTTTAATTATTTAATTACGTTGAATTCATATTGTGCAGAAATTGTTTACCCGAAGGATATAAAATTATGGTTGCTAGATCCGCAGACTGATTATGAAACAGGCGTTGAATTAGTTTCTCCGTTTTAATGTATGGAGGTTTGCCAGCTGGGACTTTCCTACACCTAATCATTTTGTATTTGGTTCACTTCCATTTGTGAGCAAGCGCATTCTTGTAGGAAAGTAAACACGTTTAACAACAGTTCGCTGTTGACTACTTTTTAAATACCGCTATGCGAATCACATCTATTGAATCCGTCATTAAACTGCTTCCCCAGTTCAAAAACATTTATGAACATTTTAATCACTTTGACTCTTTCAATTACTTAAAATTGTACTCTGCAGTTAGCTTGCACAGAATGTTTGATAATAAATGGTATTATGCATTGAAAGCCTGTTGTGACAAGAATGCCAATAAAAATAGTGAACGAGAAACGTTAACGAAGTCATATCATTAATATTCTATCGTCACACTACCCTACTGGACTACGAAATATCAAAGATTCGAAGCCTTTACTCTTGCTGAAGTTAATTTCTTTATATTAAATCGTTTTCTTCTCTCTAAATGAGGCTCTTACTAACTTATGTGTTTCGCATTTGTTGACAGGTTAGCGTCGCTGCCGGGCATGTAGACCTTGTGAACTTGCTGCTGTCCTGCGGTGCAAACCCTTACCTGTCAACTCTTATGAAGGATTCTTTGTGTTATTCCGGCGCTGCGCAGCGCGGTTGTTACGCTGCCATTGCCGTAGCGGCAGCTCACGGCCAACGATCACTACTGCACAAGCTGCTGGCACACCCAACCCTACAGAGCGCCAGTGCAAGGGAAGTCTTATCGCTGGAAGAAATTCTCGCTGAGGGGGCCAGCAGCCACACTAATGACCGCGAAAAAAGAAGTCGACCGTCATCAACCCCTCAGAGCTCAGGAATTAACTCAGGAAGCGTGACCATGTCAAGCTGTGGAGGGACTTACATCGGAGACGATCCGAGAATTGGAGGCAAGGGCAGTATAAATTCAAGCTCATCCGAAATCTCCCAAGGTTTGAAATTGACCAAGCAGCAAGTGAAGACTCTGCAAGAAGCGATGTATCACTCGGCTGAGTCTGGGCACTTGGAAATGACCCTTGACCTACGTAACTTAGGAGTGCCCTGGACCTTGCACTGCTGGATGCACACGCTTGCCACGGCTCACGAGCACCGACTGGAGACAATAATTGATCAGCTCTTGCAAGATTTCCTGCAGGTCTGGCCAGATGATTACTCTGCTCAGTTTGTTGATGAATGTTTGCCTCTACTTTTCACCATCTTCAGATATAGCAAAAACGAAGGAACTTCCTTGTTACTCGCCGACATCTTCTCGTCTTGCTTCGGCAAAGAAGCGATCAAAGAAGTTCGTGACACGTCGGTGTCTGGTGGTGCCCGCATCGACATTGGTTTCGTCAACAACCCGGAACTCTCGGACGTTCAATTTAGAGTTGAAGGACGAGTTTTCTATGCTCACAAAATAATTCTGGTCAATGCGTCGCCACGCTTCAAGCAGATGCTCAGTTCCAAGTTTTGTGAAGGCAACCCCCCAATCGTGCAAATTCACGATATCCGATACGATATTTTTGAGGTGCGTGTTTGCAAATGAATGATAAATTTACTTGAAAGTTTTTTTTACCTATTTAACTGTGATTTTTATTGAATAATTGATTAAATATAATTTTCTTGTACATATGAATAATCGATACACAAATCTGTTTGTCTAAACCTGCCCTTTAAATGAAGGAAGCTCCGCAATTATTGTTGAATAAAGCTACCTGTCCCTGAATCAGCTGGTGATGCAGTCGCTGTACAAAGGCGGCTGTCGCAACCTAGCCGTGGAGCAAGGCGACGTACTGGAGCTGATGGCCGCAGCTAATTTCTTCCAACTAGACTCGCTGCTTCGCTACTGTGAAGCAAAATGCTCCTCGCAAGTTCATCTTCATAACGTCGTCTCCATGTACATCCATGCCAAGGTAAACTTCCGTCCATGTGCATAACGTCGTCTCCATGTACATCCACGCCAAGGTAAACTTCCGTCCATGTGCATAACGTCGTCTCCATGTACATCCATGCCAAGGTAAACTTCCGTCCATGTGCATAACGTTGTCTCCATGTACATCCACGCCAAGGTAAACTGCCGTCCATGTGCATAACGTTGTCTCCATGTACATCCACGTCAAGGTATACCGCTGTCCATGTCCATAACGTTGTCTCCATGTACGTCCACGCCAAGGTAAATTGCCGTTCATGTCCATAACGTTGTTTGCATGTACATCCACGTCAAGGTATACTGTTTTCCATGTTCGCTAGCTCTGGCCAAAGCCATTTGATTGAATTCGTACCTGGAGATTCAACCCACCGCAGTACCAATTAATTATCCATACGTTTATGGTATCCATAATTTGCCTAGATTGGACAGGCAAATAGAACAGACAGTTACAGAAATTGTACACTATCTAAGTTGAACGTTGCCAGTGAGTTTTTCTATGAAGATATTTCTGAGCAAAGTTTATTTTTAGTAAATTATACTCAATTATCAATATTTTCGATATTGATTCTCTCATCATTCTGATTCGACTACGATTCTCTAATTCTTGTTTTGAATAACAAAATTTGGCATCTTCTGAACCATCAACTTATTTCTGCTTGTTTGCTTGTTCTATGTCTAGTCAACGACTCCTTACTAACGAGAAGCAGGAACTACCTTCCTTCACGATCCATTTAATTATATTCATTTTCAATACTTTTAATAATGTTGCAATTCAAAGCCAAAATGTTGATTGATATTTATGTTGTTCGATGTTGCAGGTGTACGGAGCGATGCAGTTGCTGGAGTATTGCCAGGGTTTCCTGCTGCAGAACATGGTCGCCTTGCTCACGTATGATGATTCTGTGCGTCGCCTCATCTTTGGTAAGAAGCTGCACAATCACGACGTTCTGGCCGGCCTTCTCACCACCCTGCAGAGTCGCATCAAGGCGCGATCCTTCCCTCGAGCTGGAAAAAACTGAAACAAGAAACTTTATTCAAAGCGCGCAAACTTCAAGGTGATTTTAAGAGTTGGGTCGTTGTTCCCAAACTAGTGAACTTATAATTTCAAATGATAATTACACGAGTTTGGTGTATAATGACTCGACTACAATGTCTTTTCCAACACATAATGATCTAAGTTTTTCTGTTTAATGCCCGAAACGGTTAGTTCTTCTTAACACCCAAAATTTGATTCGATTCGGTAATTTTAGTTTATTATTTTCGCGGCATTCTTCCACAAAATTTTTATATCCGTGAATCAATCATAATCCTAGTATATTGTGATGTCAATTTAAAATTTAATTCCTCGTCTTCAAGTTTCGGAAATGGGCAGATACGTTATCTGTGAAGTGCATTCTGTGACTTTAACAACTGTCGACATTAGCGAATTCTCCTTCCTCTCCGATTAAAAATTATGATTAAAATTTATTTTGGCTGACCCAATTCTAGTTGAATTATTCAGGTCAATTTGACACATGCTCAAGTTTTCGGCTAGTCGGAGAAAGCTGGAGAAGCCATTTTATTCCATAAATATTATAATTACGCATTCAATCAGTCAAGTTTCATTGCGTATGTAAAAGCCTTATTCTTGTCTTATTCAAAGGATAGAATCTGAAAAGATGACATACAAATAATTTAAACGGACGATCAATTTTAAGTTGAAATAAAACGCTAGTTCATTACAACTTAGATGTGCAAGACAAGTAATTCTGGGCTCAGTTAGCGGGAAATAAAGTAAATGCTCGCGCTTTTCTTCACCTTCTCTTCTGGCAGGCGGTAAGAAAATTTGTCCTCCCGTTCATTTAAATTCAGCAGGAGTGTTGCGGTTAGGCTTGGGTATGATAAAGATAAAATATTCGCATTATAAATAAACATTTACAGTTTCAAATATTATGTGAATTAACGCACTTGTTTAACAGTAATCTCTGTTTAGATGTGTATAATTTGTGGATGCTAAAGTTGTCTTGCATGTACTAGGGTAAGACAGGCCCATAAATCTCAATCATCCGAGTGTAGGCTGATAAGTACACTTATTTGCTCCGAGTCTGACTTTGTACAATTTCTGATCTTTTATTTTAGGTGTAGGTGAGGCTCACGAACGTTATTTCATAGTCAAGCCAGTGCCAAAACTGACTAGCGTGTATCTAACACCATTTAAATACAAAATTGCCGATCAAGGTTCAACTTCAAAGAGAAACTTGCGGTTTTATTTCCAAGTTAACTTAGGAAAAACTCTGCTGCATTGTTCATGGAAATATACTGCTGGATTGTTTCATTAACAAGAGTAGCTACTATTGCTTGCAGCCGGGGGAGCCGAGCCAGCTGATTCTCAGGGTTGCGTTTGTACATTATAGTCTAGACGTATACTTTTTATGTTACCTATTGCTTATCGCGGCAGCGTTTGTTGGTGTTATTGCTGTTATTGTTGGTAACTGTTAATTAAATAACTTATACCGAGAGTTGATTCTATTTCGTGGCAACCAATGGAGGTTATGCAAGTAGCGGCCTGTGTGAGCTTAACGGCAATCAATTCGGTATTATAATGTGTATTCTATTATATAACGCGCAAGTATGAGGTCGCTGAACATTATTATTTCTGCACCTTGATTCAATACAATATATTCGCTTTGGTACTGCAAAATAGATGCATGATCATTATTATAACTGATTTGCTCGTATTTATTCCAATAAATTATTCGGCAAGCTGAAATTTGGGCAAAAAAAAGTTAAAAAATTAACAGCCAAGGCAGAATGTTAAGTTCCTAACGTTTCCCCGTTTCTCAATAGGAAGAATGTCCTTCATTTACGTTGAAACGTAAACTCAATGGACCCATGTGTAAATTTTTAAGTACAGTATATACCTCTCGTCATGGCCCATGAGGGCATTAAACTTCATTTCAATACAAACAAACATAAATCGCACTCGTCCATGTATGTACTCATTTCTAAGATGATGAAACTATTTTGCGATCAACAGTCCATCGATTGACGATTATTGGTTGTACCGTTGTAGATCGGTATTCAGTAGAATTCTTAATTTTTCAACAGTTTAACCCCATAAGTAGCTTATACCAATCTTCGTGCACTAGGTTTTGCACGAAATTATTCTGAGCCAAGAAACAAGTTGCCTGCATACTTTCTCAGTGCGACCGCGAAGAAACGGTCTGTCGTATACAACGTTCCGTTACTTACGGTATAAAAATAATTGACCACAGTCGAGTAGGACTTACTTGAGAAATTCGAACGTAGAACTTGACGTCTATTTTTTGTACGTTGCCGAAACAATTTTAACTCAAGGCTCGCTGCACTTTCATCAACGTTGGAGTATATAATGTAAACATGGCTCAAAATTGTAGATTCATTACAACTCGTGTAGGAATTAGTTTTATATGTTCTCTTTAAATGAGTTAGCGGTCGGGAAAGTATGTAATTAAAATTCATAGTAAACTCACGTATCTTTGACATTATTTACCTTCATAGCATAGTGAAGTCAGCGCTGAAAAATAGGCCTGCCGCCGATTCTTGTACTTTTCATGACTTTCCATAGATCTAAAAACAGGTCCTTCTACCGGATCTTTTCCAAACTGTCGATAGTTTGAAATATTTACTAGACTTCCATCCGGTTCGATATGCTGCTAGGCATTTCAAGTCTGAACATTTATTTCTCCATAGCTTTATCTAGTCTGTTCTTGAACGCGTTCATACTCGGAGTCCAACATCTGTTCATGATAGACTTATCGTGGTCGTCTCGTTTAATTATAACTTGAAAATAATATTCAACTCTTGCTTACAATTAGAGAGGTTAGTGTTACAATTTGTTTTTCTTCTTCACAGGATTACAAGTTCGCTTCAGTTGCAAATTGGTGATGCTGGCTAGTATTTTCCAGTTGCTCCTAGTAATGATTCTCCTAGTAACGATCCAATAGGACTGAAAGAATACAACCAAATCACATAAAATATCAGTTTCATTTATCGAAAATCTGAGATAGGACCTAACACAATGTTACAAATAAACTATTGCATAGCCTCCTAATGAATCCATTCGGCATTGCAGCGACAAATGCAATGATTACTGAACAGTGAAATGAAATGTTTTTTTTTGCATGGTTTTCGATTAACCATTGCATAAATTAAAAGTCACACTATCGATAGAGAAAGCTCATTCTTTTTAATCCATCATTAAATGAGCTTCATCACGTTTGGGCATTCCATTGAACAGGTCGCAATTAACAAAAAAAATCCGTTAAACCACAGAATTAAAACTTCCCATAAAACCAAGATTCAAAATAAACTGAGATGCTTGGTAAAAACATAAGAACTTTCTTCATTGGTCTTGATGCAAGTAGCATTAACTATTAATACGACAACTTTGAAAAGTAAGCGCAAGTTGGAAGTTGTGTACAGAGCCGCGCTTCAAAACAAACCATATCATAGCGAGATCGAAAAATGGATTCCATCCAAAAGAAACAGAAGATGGCAAGCGCGCAAAGAAGCAGCGTTAGTAGAAAAAAAATGTATCCGTTGTACTTCACTCGCGTCTCACTGAGTAAGCCCTCATAAGAGAAATGAAAAGAAATGCTAGTTATATCTACCCTCAAGGTGGAAGAACCTCGCTCATAAAATATCGAAGTAAAGGAAAGACGTCAGAAGGCTTGCGGACACGGACAGAATCCTCAAGCTCGCTCTACTTTTCATGTTTGTGGAATGTTTTCGAAACCAGAGCATATAATCTGAACCAAAAAAGAGGTTCTGATAAAGATATGCACAGAACTAATAAATGCTCTAAAGTTAGAAGGAAGTGCAAGGCACTTAGCTCGTTGCGTCAACATTTTAAAGAAAGGTCAAGTTTATTTTGGTCTCAACCCTCAGTGAGGGAAAATGAACTCACTAGACCTATCAACAGGAATGAACCACATTGAAAGCTTGTCTCACAAAACGAAAAAAGGCACAAGCTTCTAGTTAAATAAAAAGAAATGAATACATAAAATCAAGCTATTTAAAAAGACGAGATGAGGCAGTCCATTATTGCAAGTCGAAGATTTTTGCAAGATCGTTGATGGAGAGGGCGTTATCGCCAGCGCTCCTCTTGGCCCCGCCCAGTACCTCCGCGGCCAGCTGCAGCTTTTTCTTCTGAAGCTCCAAAATTTTGACTTCGACTGTGTTATCGACCACAAACCTGAGAAGAGATACAATTGACTACAGGTCATACTCTTGTACCAACGTTAAAAGTACGAGTTTTTAGATATAAATCTTATCTAAAAAAATGCTAGCTGTAACTGACTGATCATAATTTGTGATAACTCTTGAAATATTTCCTTCGGTGGATTTTGTTCTTGAGTTCTTAAGGATAAACAAGTTAAGCAAGGGTGAATCCCTTCTCTTGTTCATTGCATTCTAATGCTTGTTGACTGTCTAATCTCTATCTTGCTACACAAATCGAATTATTACTCATACCATGCCAAGCAACACGTGGAGAAAAAGACTCAAAGAAAACTGCGCTGAGGTCACCGACAGATAATTATTATGAAGTAACTATAACAAGATGCTCATCTAAAGAAAAACCGTTATACTAGGTTACGTGTGCTGAAAGTGACATAAAAAACTATAAGAGAAAAAAAGGGAAATGCTTCTACCTCTTATCTTGTTTATATGCATAATCGATAGAAATTTAATGCATTTTTCTAAATGCTGTAAATACTGAGGGATGTCATTTCAATTAAGAGTGGACGCTATAAAAATAGTTCTGACGAACTTCTTTGATATAGTTTTACAAAATAATAAATAATAAAATTATGCACGCAATTGAGATGATGATAACATGTGAAGTTGATTTCTGAAAGTTTAAATATTAAAAAATGTTTAAAATGCAATAAGTTACAAAAAGAAAGACGTTTAGTCCTAAAACATGGAATTGAGCAGTCATAGAATATGAGATTTTTTGAGAGTACAGTATATAGATATATACCTACCTAAAACAATAGTGCATTTTTTCATAAATGAGAAAATGCGCTAAAAATGGAAATTAAAAAATATATCATCGAGAAGTGTTACAAGACGAGTCAATTGAACGGAGATTGCAAGGTCGCACGTAGATAAGAGGGCTCAATCCGTGTCACAAAAAACATTATAGCTGCCAGCGATCAGAGAATGCACATTATTCCGTCCAAATTTAAACACTGACTTGTGTATGAAGACTGGGCGCGTTTGTCCGACCCTGTAAATCCTGTCACAAGCCTGGGCTTCGAGCTGTGGGTTCCAGTGCATGTCCAGAAGAAACAAGTGATTGGCGCCAACTAAATTCAAGCCCACGCCACCTGGAACAAGAACAAAGGCTCATGAGGTGATTTAAAACACGGGTGTTGTGATCTTATGATGTTCTTTTTAGGTCGCTTCGCCTCGCCTCCAAAAAAATTATATAAATATTCGCCATAAAAGTCTTGATAGCTGTAGCAGAAACTAATAGTACTATCACTATGAAGAGTGAATGCAGGTTAAAAGTGGTGTACACATCAGTTCTTCAGAGCAATTTATTTTACATGAAATGATGCAAGGGATCAGGGCCTCCTGGTCCCTAAGCTTGCGTACGAGCATCGCTGACGAAGGATGGGCTAGGGTTTTACTTTACCAAAGCGTCAACATCGATACTTGCATGAATCTTAGTCGACTTTTTTCAATGAAACTTTTTTGAATAAGTTTACGAAAACATAAAAAAGCTAAACGACTGCTATACGTTAAAAAACATCAATGTTCTAAACAGTTAAGACAACCTTCAGTTTGGGAAGCATGCTTTAAAGATTAACGTGATGAAGTGATTGTTTAAAGTTTAAACAATCAGGTCATCAAGACCTAAAGATATAGACTTTTTCATTAAAGATGGAAGAGTACTGACCAGCCCCAAGAGAGAGCAGCAAAACTTTGGGTCCTTTAGGGTTATCGTTGAAGTCTGCAACAATGGCTGTCCTATCTTTCACAGGCACCGTGCCGTCGATGATGTGGTTCTTGACACCGTTCAGCAGAAGATGTTCCCGCAAGATCTTCAGCATGGACGTCCATTGCGACACGATCACGGCCTTCTCGCGGTTGCCGTTCGGGTCAGGGTTGCCCAGTTTATCGGTGCGACCTGGCAGTGCAGTAGTAATGTTATCAACTGAGCGCGAAAAGCATACAAAGTACATAAAGAGGAAGTTTTAGGAGGTGCAACTAGCTCGCATTAAAAAGGTGGTATATATAAGGTACCTGTATAAAAATCACGGAATAATGGGCTTGAAAAACAATGGACCTTTTATTTAAAGACTGTGAATGTCTTATAGTATTCTTAAATGACAAGTAATTTGAATTTCGATTATCTTAATTTAATTTTTATACCTATTGCCACAGTGGTGAAAATCTTCCTTTCTTCGAAACAAAACTTAAAAGTACTGAGCGAAAATTTGATGAAAACTTGCTAGCAACTACCTACTATAGGTTTATGCTCAACATCTTCAATCTGTCTTTGAAGGAATCTGAGCGATGGTCGTTAATATGGCAGCTATGTTTTTCAGCTGCATTGAATTTAAATAATAAAAATTTCAATTAGCTGATTTATTAGTAATTCATTCTCGTTCACTATTGATTTGTTACAAAATCGAACACTTAGTGTTAAGATGCATTGACCGTCATCGAGGTTATTGGTATTAAAAGAGTTGGTAATTTCGAAATTGAACTGAGGATTAGTTGAAGGAAGGGTAACACTCGTTTTCACGCATCGATTCTTGGCGAAGTAGAAGATATAATTATTGCGTTTCCATAACATCTATGGAATCCTATTAAAACTTAGTCTCAGTGCTCTAGTATCCAACTCCATTTAAAAACTAACGTTAAAAAACCTTGCGAGCACATTGACAGCAAAAAAAAATTAAATTAACTTGGGAAAAATCAAGTCCTAGTACATAAAAAATTTCACTACTCACCCTTCTTTTTTATCTCCACAAGCTCTTTGAAAACCCTTTCAATTTTTGAGCTCTCGTGGGCAGGATCGAAAACTGGGTTGTCCAGGCTGAAGGGCTATGACGAAGAGAAAATTAAGTAGAAGCAAACAAAATTAAAAGCTCTATTGTTAAATTATAAGGCCATTCTCCGTCATTAACAGACAGAACCATTCTCCTTCATTAACAGACAGAACCATTCGCATTCATTAAAAGACAACCATTCTCCTTCATTAAAAGACGGAACCATTCTCCTTCATTAAAACATAGAACCATTCTACTTAATTAATAGACAATATCAATCTCCTTCATTAACAAACAGACAATACCAGTCTCCTTCATTAACAGACAATACCATTCTCCTTCATTAACAGGCAATACCNAACAGACAATACCAGTCTCCTTCATTTACAGACAATACCAGTCTCCTTCATTAACAGACAATACCAGTCTCCTTCTTTAACAGACAATACCAGTCTCTTTCATCAACAGAAAGTACAATTCTCCTTCATTGACAAATAATACCATTCTCCATATTAGAATTCAACATCGTTCTCATTAATTATAAATCCAATGCCATAGTTCTTAATTAAAAGCGCGTCATACCTCGGCTTTAGGGCGCTGCTTAACTTCCTCCAGGCGGTCGTCGGGCTCCTGCAGTGTCATATCGTGCAACTGTGCCAGCAACGAAGCATCCACATTTTCTGCAACACAAAGATATAATAATTACCATGATATTGAAGTGAAATTGTATGCAGTAGGTGTTTAGAACAATCTTTAACATTTTAAACGAAAAGAATGATTAATTCGAGGAAGAACTCATTTTAAGATAACCAAGCAGCCGCGCACATAGGACGAGTACCGTAATGTATGCACAAGAAGAGTGCGAGTTGTAGCTGGATTTTAGCAGAATGAAGAATCTTTGAATATCTTAGAAGAAAAATTATGTGTAATCAAGGAGAATGACATTAAGTGTTCAGAAAACGTTAGGAGAATAACTAATTCTGAATAAATTAATTTTTTAGACTAATTTTTTTTATTCAAACACTACTGTCAAGTATAATCATCTTCGTAATAAATTACCTTCTAAATTATCTTGAATTATTATCACATTTACAGCGGACTAATCAAAGAACTCGCCTTTATCGGACGTGTCGACGTCTTGCTCATCTTCAGCAGCACCGGTAACAATCTATAATTGCAGAGAAAGAAATTTCAAGATGTGAAGACGTGATATGAAAACGCGGAATCTAGTAGAATAAAGATAAATCATTCATGAGAATTAATTTCAACCCATAAACTTGTTATATATTTCGCGCACCTGCTAATAAAAGTACGTTAGTATAATCTTATGGCAATCGACTGACATGCAATCCTATAGTCATGCACTGCTCTATGATTTAATAAAGGCAACGTCAAATTTTGCAATAGCTCAAAGAACTTCATGTAAAACGGCGACACAGCCTATTCAAAAAGACCATTAGAGCCGAGATTAAACTGAATAATGAAGCACAGCGCAGAAAGAAATAAATATAATCAACACCAGAAAACTAGAACTAGAGTAAACGATTCATCAGACACCTTCAATCCTAACCCTCTCTCCCTGACGATAACTAGAGACCTGACTTCAAGACAACCGCATATGTCAAAAACGCGTCATTCAAATGATTAAAGAGAGGAAATCATCTATCTTGGATTCCAGTTTTGAAAGTTTCGTACTCACGGCTTTTATGAGGGTCGGGTGACAGCAGATCTGACGCAGTCGCAGCAGCAGCACGAGCAGATGATGAGTCTTGACACTTTCGTCCAGTAAATCTTTTTGACCTAAAGTAGGAGTGAACCGGAATTTGTCAGCTGATGTCACGTCAACAGAAAGAGTATCTTTAGTTTTGGATTCTTTCTCACGTTCCTTTTCTTCGTGCGTCTTCATGTATTCATAAAGAGAATTTCTCGATAACCTAAAGATTCGATCGTAGATCTCACGTTCCTCCTGAGAGAGCGAAAGTTCATGCACAATAGTTTTCTTGTCAGGCAGCTTGACTAGCTTCTCACCAGATGATTTATCCACCTGATCCTTGGTGCGTCTCAGAAGGATGGCTTTGACGATCATCGTGAGTCGTCGCATTCCTTGCACGTTACTGTTCGTTATTTGATGCTTCCAACAAATGTACTCGTCAAATGGAGCGATCCGCAAGAAACGAACCAGAGAAAACATATCCATTTCTTTATTTTGAACGGGTGTACCCGAAAGTATCCAGCGTCTGCCGCCCTTTAGCATGCACATGGCTTGTGCGGTTTGACTTTTGTGATTCCGGATACAGTGACCCTCGTCCAAGATTATTCGCGCCCATCCAATTTGGTACAGGCAACCTTGGTCGCTGCGGCTTAACTTCGGGATGCCATCACTTTTTTTTTCCTTAACAGAGCATCCACCTTTGCCAAAGGCCTCCTTCATAGCTAGCTGATACGTGGTGATGACCACATCATGCTTACAGATGAAGCCAATCGAAGTGTCGCGCCGGGGTCCATGATACACCAACACTGACAGGCGACCACGAGATATGCGATCATTTGCTTCTCGTTCCCATTGTCCCATCAGAGAAGCAGGACACACAACCAGCGTCCCCTGAGTCTTCCTGAGCTGCTGCTTCCGAGGCCTAGGCAACCATTTGGACCCGCCCTTAGTGCTGATTTCTTCATCGCTTTGGTCCTCATCTCGCAAAGTCTCCATTGCGAAGTCATCAATAACGCCCTCGCTGATCAACTCCTTGTGGCGTAGTATGAGGGAAAGCATGGTCAAGGTTTTTCCAAGTCCCATGTCATCAGCGAGAATGCCACCTGGAGGTTCCTGAGATTCGCGCCACAATAGCCATACAAGTGCTCTCTTTTGATGAGGCATTAAATCAACTCTTAGTCCTCTCGGCTCCTGAACTGAGTCAGGGTTTATATTTTCAACATCAGGCATGTTCCTGATTATTTGGGAAAATGCCTCCAGTGTATCACTGGTCACTCTCACTATCTGTCTTTCCCTGGCGTCCGAAATTTTACCGCCATAGTTCCTTGCGCCATAGTTCTGGTCAGCTGAATACAGAGCGTCTATCACATTCTGAGGCAAGTCGGGTTTCGTGTATCGAGCACCGTCAGCAGTAGTGCTGCTGGCATCAACGTTCACGAGGTTCAACTTCCCAATATTCTTTTGCTCATACTGTTGGTATGCTCCATGACGTACTATTTCAGTCGCGTCAGCTTTCAGTTCCAACATCATGAGCTCTCTTTCAATATCATTTATTTCTTTCTTCAATTTATCTCCTCCGTCGTCCAAGGCCCGAAGATTGGTAGCCTGAAAAAGTCTTTTCTTCTTCTCCAGCGTCTCTTTGAGATCAATTAATTTTTCATTGGTTTCGTCATTTTTATCTTCCAATCGCTTCATCAAGGTCGGACTCTTAGGAGGCTCGTATCGATTAACGCTTTCGGCAACACGAGTTAGTTTCCCCATTGGAGTTGCATAGTCAGCTGATTCATCTTCACTAGAAGAGGGAACGACAACGATGGATTCTTCAGCCCTATCTGATGCTGACTTGGAGCTTTCATGAATGCTCGAGTTCATCGAAAGGTCAGACAAAGATTGTTCCAATTCCTGAATTTGCTGCTTGAGCCGCCCTCCGTTGTCAGGTAATGCCGATAGCTTCACATTTTTGGCAAGCTTTTTCTTCTGATAGATCAGTGACGGGACTTCTTCAATTGACAAATTTGACGCATCATTCGAAGCGTAAGCTCGGTCACCACTTTTCTTGAATTTTGAATTAGGATCACTTGACATAACTGACGTTCTCCGTTCTTGATGGGATTTGTCAGTAGTTTTGGTTTCCTTCATCCCATAATTGCCGCCAGGCTTTGCTGCGGATATGGAATCTTCGCCAGCCATGGATACGTCTTTCAAAGACAAAAATGATGAAGTGGCATTGTTCGGAGGACTCCCACTCACATCAGTTCTCGAACGATCGTCGATGAACGAATCGATGGAGGCGTCATCGTTATGATCAACAAGCGAATCACCCTCATCATCATCATCATCACTACTGACGATGAATGCGCAAGTTTTCTTCCTGTTTCTGGCTATGACAGGACTCTCAGCAAGACTGTCATCAATTGCATGGATATGAGATGCCTTTTTCGATCGCACAGCAGCTTCAACGCTGTGGTGGCTATGAGATGTTGCATTCAGATATTCATCCGTTTCAGGAACCACATTCTCTCTACGGTTTTGGAGATTATCTTCATCACAATTAAGAGAAACCTCCGACACACGATGTCCCGATAAGAAATTACTGCGGTTTGGTGTTGAAATTTTACTGAAACGATTGCCACTGTTCTGTAAACGATTTACAAGTCCAGCCTCACTTGAGTCAATGTTAGGTAAACTGGCATTTGTTGCAGTCAAGTCAACAGAAATTTGAAGTTCATCATCAGATGAACTTGTATCGGCTGGAGCTCGCCAGAAGCCAGAAGTATTGAGTTTCAAATTAGAAGTGTTCATCTCTTTGGCCTCGAGATTAAAACTAGATCTATAACTTGGAGTTTCATGTGCCGGCTTAGTCCTTGCAACAGTAGAGAGTGAATTATTTGTACAAGAAAATAAGCTATGAGTATCATCAAGAGTGGCCAAAGGTTTTTGTGGACCTATATTTGATGAAGTTTTTGTCTGAGATTCCCCTAAGAGCCTTCTGTCGCTGGCATCCGAGAATGAGTGAGATATATCTATTATGGAATCATCATTAATTTCCACAACATTTTTAGTGCCTCTCACACTTTGTTTCGCTTTCTTTAAAGCAAGGATGGATGGAGCTGGTGAAGCACCTACGTAAGACATGTCAGATCCTGACAGAATTTCCGAGGCTGAAGTGTCCGACTCATCCGTTTCAGGAACTGGAAGCTGTAACATTTTGTCTTCAATCCGAGTCACGGGAGACCTGTAGAAACGTAGAATAATAAGGAACAGGAAGCTGTAACATTTTGTCTTCAATCCGAGTCACGGGAGACCCGTAGAAACATGGAATAGTAAGCATTTTCCACACGGATTCTTAAGAAGTGCGAGCATTATGTTCTGGTTCAGAAGCAACTGAAACCATGGCAAACACAATGGGCCTCAGTCACCAACATCAGAATATCAAACCTGCACAAGATGAATGAAATGTTTTAACCAACATGCATTGAACATAAAGGATAAGGACCAATGCTGGTATTTCTTTGTATTACAGATCACTGCAAAAAGGCTGTTTTATGACACTGGTATCCAGATGAAATTCTATTCTAATTTAATAGAGACAAAAATGTACAAATTTATACAGCTATCTCAATCGGTAGAAAGAATTTAAGAACACTGCCTGGAAGGTGCTCTTATATTGATTGGATATCACAGACTTTAGAGTGAATAGACTGTTTCTAACAGTAATTTTTTAATGTAACACTTGAAGATTTTGTTGATCTTTGAGATAAGTAAGAAATACAAGGAGAAAATAATTTAAGACTTTACTCTGGCAGAGCCTTACAAGTGAACATCTGAGGGCAAATTGAAAATAATGGTAATGAATGGTTTGAAATGTTAAAATGGTATATGGTTGAATGGTTTATGATGAGAGTATATGGTTCATTTTCAAGCTAAATTAAATGAGATTTTAATTATGATATCAATCCAAGATATTCTTATGATATTCGAAATGTTCTGCTCCTCAATACCTTAGAGAAACCTCTAAACAAAAACTGCTAAACAGGCTTTAGCTCAGTAAATCAGTATTTATAGGTGCACCAAAATTATAAAAATAATTTATTGGATAATATGCAAGAAAATGGTATAAAACATGTATTTACACTTACCATGTTAATGATGCTTCCAATGTTTCCTCTGCAGCGTCCTTCAGTAGCTTATTAGTTGACTCGTTCATTGCCCCAGATTGCTCTAGATAATCTGTACAACTAAAATAGGCTAATGGGGGCAATGATTTTGAAATTGGCACCAACGTATTTGATATTACTGCTCAAAATTAATGTAAATACATATTTTTGATGGCCAAAACACAAAAATATAGGGTAACATGTGGTATAACAGATATTTTTATTAATTTAAGGATACTTAAAAATTACTATATATACAGCCATTGCAAGTTCAATCAGACATGACTATCTAATCGTCCCACAAAAATCAGGAAATAGATATATGGTACAGTAGCTGTTCTATTGACTTGTATAAATGCTCAACCTTTTGGAGGGAGAGCCATACAAATCTCAGCTCAAAAGTCCTATTAAATCAATAATGTACTATTGAGGCAACAGGGCAAACAAGATTGAAATCTTCCTACTTATTACTGCAATGCAGTGGCTTTAAAGTGGCAAATTTAAAAAAATTTGGAACTGGTTGCCTAATTGCGCACTTTTGTTAACCATTCCATAGAATGAGTTTATCAGGACTCAAAAAAAAATGGCAGGAATGCTCTAGTTGTGGCTTGGAAGGTAGACATAACAGGATTGGAATTTTCCTGCTTCCTGCTGAAATTTCACAGCTTTGAAGTAACAAATTTTTACTAAAATTGGTAGGTACCTATTTGCTGGCCAGATCATGCACTTACATGGTATTAACAATTATATAGAATGTAATTCATCTTGTGGCAATCGTGCAGATAGCACAATTGGCAGAAAAGCTCCAGTTGTGGCTTGAAAGGTAGGAAATTCTATGCATGCAAGTTGCCAGCCAAAAAATAACAAATGCAAACATTATTATTGAGCCAACCAGAGACAATTTAGAATAAATTCAAAGATTTGATGAAATCTCAATATGACTAATTAAAATTAAATATACTCATATCTTATTACAATTGCATCTGATTTCTTTCTTGGATTATTTTTTATTCAGATAAAAAGTAGGTTAATTATCATACAAAGGCCATTCAAAGCGTATATAAAGTTTTCCACCATTTAATGAAAAAGAAATCACAGGTTCTAAAATTTCTTCTAAACATTGAAAAGGGCAAGTTAAAGGCATTGTTTTGGTAAAAAATGTAAAATGTTGGCTTTACCGTTTTTTTTTGGCCTATAAGAGCTGCTGAAAAAGCAAGTCTAATGCAGCAAACCGTATGTCTATGCATGTGCTAGTTTTTGCATAAACAATTTCAAAAATATATTGAATCAACATTTTTCAACAATATATACAAAGATTAATTCAAATTAAATCAGTATTTATCAGGGTTGGCAATTATTAAATCAAACTGATTAAATCATTTGATTTTAAAGGTTTTGAAAATTTGTCACTTTGAAGCCACAAAATTTCCATTCCATGTAGGAAAATTCCAATCCTGCATGCAAGAAAGTAAATATCTGAAAATTTTTGATAGCATCAGAATCTATGTCTTCAGATCTTGCTAAAATACCATCAAAAGGGATGTTTCCAAGGGTATGGATTTCAAAAAAAAAATAATATATGCTATTCAAAAGGCACCAGAAACAAAAAAAAGCATCCAAAATTACACCTGGGGAGAGGGCAATCCAGGACACTTGAAATAAGCCTCAATTTTAAAACATTTGAAGCATGCAGAGTGTACTCATCCATTACTAACAGTACCTTCAACTGGGGTGACTTTGGCCACCACTACAACAGAAACAAATGGCAACTAAACATAAAATTAAACATTGGTTCAAGTCACCCCAGTGGCCAAAGTCACCCCAGTCACTTTGGCCAATGTTTATTATTTTGTTTTGCTGCCATTTGTTTCTGCTGCAGTGGTGGAGTAACCTCAGTTGACGGTGCTCCCAAGTCCTCTTCTTTATTTGTAGATGATGTAGAATAAATGGCATTTTCAGTGATTAGTCTTGTTTTTTCTTTATTGAAGATAATTCTATATTCATTTACATTGACAAAAACTTTTTTTCTGTTCTATAACTAACACTTCTAAAACCCTCCCAAAACAAATTTCCATGTCATTGACAATGATCTTGTCTACTGCAAGCTTCATACCGTAAAATGGGGTAACTTAGACCACTTTTTTTCTTATAAATGATGCCATTTTCTTACTAGCTAAATTAAACTTGAATTGAAACATGCTAAATACAGGTCTATACTCTAGCTTCACTCACCATAAATTGCTGGCTCCTGCCTCTCATAGTCTTTATGTAATTTCAAAAAAAATCAAATAGTTTTTGAGTTGTGGGGGTTTTTGTAAAAAAAAAACGAAAAGTGGTCTAAGTTACCCCGCCGGTCTAAGTTACCCCATTTTACGGTATCAGCAGCCATATAGCATTTCCACCATAAGCTTATGTGACTGAGCTTGTAATTTTGCACCATTTTAATTGGGTCAAGTGAATTTATTAACTGTAACAAAAAAACTAGTAAAAAACATATCTAAAACATTAAGGAATTTTTTATGGACAACCATCATATTTTTTGGGGAAATGAATCATAGTTTAGATTAATTACTTTTCATTATATGTTGCTTGGTGCATCATTCTATCTATGACATTCCATGCACAATATTGTAATGACTGATGATGTGGTACATTTTTGTTAAGTGAAATTTTTTTCTGCTGAGAGAGGTAAATTTAATCAAAATTCTTTTTCATTAACCAATTTTTTTTATTGACCGGAGCCTTTGATAACCAAGGTTCTACTGTAAAGATCTTTTTACGGGTATCCTGTATTACCTGTGGTGGGTGTCCCATAATACCCATCTTGCAGAAATGGCTGCCATTTTGTTTTGAATTGAGGTACGCAAATTCCATTGATAAAGTTTTGAAGCCAACACCTGTCTGAAATTTTTTTGGGAGCAAAATTTTTAATACAGCCAAAGATTTTTTACTACAGACCTTAGCAGAAATACTTTACCAAAATATAATTTAAAAAAATTTTTATTTGTATTTTTTACACCCAGTAAATGTATGATTTCTTAACTTACTTTATGCTGCATAGATAGGAAAAATGTTCTAATTGAAGGGAATAGTGATTTTAAGTTCCTCAGAAGTAACCTGTGCATTAGGGTCATGAACATTCAATATTGACATTGGTATGTACCGTAAAATGGGGTAACTTTGACCACTTTTTTTTTCAAAATGATGCCATTTTTTTACTAGATAAGTTAAACTTAAATTGAAACATGCAAAATACTACAGGTCTATACTCTAGCTTTACTCACCATAAATTGCTGGCTCCTGCCTCTCATAGTCTTGATGTAATTTAAAAAAAAGTGATGGTCTTTGTTACCCCAGCTCTTGGGGTTTCTTTGACCGGGTGGTAAAATCAATTTCATTTTTTAGTAAAATAACTCCAAATAACTCCAGGTTGTGGTGCATTGTAGTAGAACTCTTCTAGTTACATATACAAAAGACAGATTTTAGGAAAGTGTCATAGTTTGCAAATGGGGGGCGCTGCCCCCAAATGGGCAAAATGTGACCACTTAATGGCAGCTGTGACGGGGTAACATAGACCGGTTTGGAAATTAAGTTAAAATTACCATATATAAGACTCTGTAGAGTCTGAAACATAAAGAAAAAAACATTAATAGGTATATCAAACATAAAATATGCTGTCTGGGGTACCTATGGTAATTTTAACTCAATTTCCAAGCCGGTCAATATTACCCTGTCACGGCTGCCATTAGGTGGTCAAAGTTACCCCATTGGGGGGCGGTGCCTCACTTTTGCAAACTATGACACTTTTCTAAAATTTGTCTTTTGCATATGTAACTAGAAGAGTTCCACTACAATGCATCAAAACCTGGAGTTATTTTACCAAAAAAATAAAAAAATTGGAGGGGGTACTCTGACAGGCTTTAAATAATAGCTCTTTTTTGTGGGTCACATTTTTAATTTTTTAACCTATTAGATATGCAAACTTTTTAAATCTTTCTATTGTGTTACGTAGCCTCAGTATTAGGCCTTTGATGGCCATTGACAAAATTTTTCTACGTCAAATCATTTTTGAGTTTTGGGGGTTTCTGTTAAAAAAATGAAAAGTGGTCAGAGTTACCCCGCCGGTCAAAGTAACCCCATTTTACGGTACATTATTTTGTAGATAGTAATGGCACAAACTTCAAGAAAGCCTCGAGGATAAGATTGCAGGTCCTGTTCCATGTATGTGACATCACTTTGAACAAATATGGCAAGACCTGGCTCAGGTGCCCCTCTGTGTTTGTAGACTGCATAATAATTGACAAGATTAGGTTCATAGTTTTGTGAGAGCCATGTTTCAGATAGGAACACAACATGGAGTCTGGTGGTGTAAATATTAAATTCAAAGTTACTAAGCTTATTGCCAAGACTATGACAGTTCCACTGTAAAATCTTTACTTCCTTGGTGGAGGACATTTTTTATAGGAACCTTCTTTATCTTTGGATCCCAAATAACTGTAGTCTTCACCCTTGAATTACCCCTTACCTTTGCTGTCTCCCCGGTTACCTTTGTGTCTTCAAGAGTAAAGACCAAATCTTAGGTCCAAGATTATTGATAAATTTTGCAATACCAGCCCTACAAAAGGAAAAGTCAGCAGGGGCTTTACTGAGGGCCAGGTCATTAGCAAAAAACTTTAAAACTAAAATTGATTATTTTTTAAAATACCCTGCGTGGCCCATGTTACCCCGGTAATGGTTGACTTTGGCCACAAAATCATTTTACTATGTTTTTACACATGTGGCTGAAGTCACACCAATGCGGGGTGACATCGGCCACCGAGCTAATTTAAAAAAATTATTAAACTATAAATGTGACATAAGTTAGACATGACATATTTAAAGAAGAACATTTCATTAATATATTTACAAATTTACTATCACCAACCAGCAAGTAGCAACACCTCATTCCTATTTTGTAGGAATTTGATTGGCCGAAACTAGTGTAATTTGGCCAAAGTCACCACAGTTGACAGTAGCAAGTTTATCAGGGGCTAGGTGCAAGTAGACAATTTCATGTAACAATGTCTTTCTAACAGTAAAATTGCCCTGGTCAGTCAATTATATGCAATAAACTGCTAAACTTTAATATATGAAACAAAACACTACCAGTGGCAGTACCAGCATAGGCCTACCTCAC